TATGCTGCCACTATCATATTATTCTGGTTTTCTTTGAATTTTTTCCAAAGTAAAGCCCAAGTAGCATTTGTTACGTTAATTAAAAATATTGCTTCTTTATGTATATATTCAAGCACTATACCTAAATCTATATATGTTTATGACAGTGGCATATCTAAAGAGATACAATATTATTAGAGAGGGAGATAAAGAAATGAAACTGTTGCTAGATATACCATTGGATATCTACTGCTACTATTTTGGTTTTCGGTTTAGAGAAGAGAGAGAGAAAGAGAGAGAGAGAGAGAGAAAGAGAGAGAGGAGGGAGGAAGAGGGAACAAAACAAGTAGAAATGAAAATGAAAATGAAAATGAAAGAGAAAGAGAGAGAGAGAGACAGAAAACATAAAATATAAGAGGAATGAGAATTAAAAAAGGGAAAAAAAACTAAAAAGCAGTTTTAGGTTAAAAGAAAATCATTAATGAAGGATCTGATATAATAAGATCTCAGAGTTTAAGGTGTACACTGGTACAATTAGAAGTGGATAGTACAATTTGATACCAAAGACAGAAGAGTAAGGGCGACCTTTGGTATTGTACTCAATATCTAAATTATTGTTAGACATACTTTTTATTTCAAAAAAAAAAAGTTAGACATACTTCCCCATGATTTTTGTCAGACACAATAAAGAATCTACTTAGAAACACTATATATGTAACACCTCGTTATGCATAACAATTAATTTCGTATGAAATTATGTTTGGGAAATTCTAATTTTCGCGTCATGATGTTTTCAAAATCTAATTAGGGATCCTAAAAATGTAAAAAAGAATCCAAAAAATTAATTAAATTTGGAAAAAGGACTGAATTGAGAACAAAATTGGAATTTTGGGTCATTCTGTAACTAAACATGGACCCAAATGATGGCAATCGCGTGGCTGGTGGGCGAGATGCCAATCGATGGCTGATGTGCATGATGCCAATCGATGGCTGATGTGCATGATGCCAATCGCATGGTCTACAAGCAGTCTGCAGATCAACGGCCACAATTTGTCCTCAAGTAATCCTACGGTCACGGCAACCAATGGTCCAGATGAACAGAAAATTTGAAATCAACAGTGGAAATTCGTTCATCAAGGGAAATGACCGATTTGCCCTTAATGAAGGGCAATCAGACGGTCCTCTAGTAGCCACGCTGGACTTAATCCGACGACTAGGAAGAATCCAAGGACGGGTATAAAAACCGCCTATCCCCTTGGTCAACCCAAAGAGTGCTGGAGAAGAAAAGAGAAAGGGTGAGGGAAATTGCCAGAAAAGGGAGAGAGAGGTCGCACAGGACTGCGCTGCCATGACGGAGAAGATAAACGATGTCGGTAATCATTTTTTCTTCCTCCTTTCTCTGTTATCTCTGGTATTTTATCCTTTTAAGCTCAAAATACTCGGTATGTAGGGGTTAGGCCAAGAGTACGAGGTAAACCAAATCTTGAAGCACCATGAAACCAACCTCTGTTCTTTCATTCAGGTTAAGGTAAGAAATTATACGTCCTTCTAGGATCCATTCCTTTGTAATCCACTAATAAACACTAACCTATGGTTTCTCTGTTAAGAAGTTTTACATGCAGGTATACTAACCGAGGGGAAAAGTTTATTAATACCTTTAAGTTTTCTGCTTTAATTTGTTTTCAGCATGCATATGTTCTAAATGTATTTTAAGGGGGTGATTTGATAATGCAAAGGATGGCAACGGAGAGGGAGGGAACATCCGCAAATGGCTAAACAGTAACATATATATATATATATATACATGCTTATATATTAGTGAGATTGTGTGCTTATTCAGTGTGTGCATGTGATACTAGGAAAGGCATGATTCTGAGCATGTACGTGCATATATCGAATATATGAACTATACCCCTATTAAGCTACATGAGTAAGTGTGTGTGTTTGTGTGTGCATCTGTGAAGATTATATGTAAGTCATATATGAGTAAGTGTGTGTGTTTGTGTGTGCATCTCTGAAGATTATATGTAAGTCATATATGAAATCTATATGAGGTGTAAGTCGGTATAAAAACAAAAAGTATATAAAATGTATGCATGTAAAGCTGTGTAGATGGGTAGATAAGAATATATATATATATATAAGAAAAGTTGAGTATGTGTGCGTGCATAAGAGTATACGTGTATAGCTAGAATGTGTATGCGTGTGTGAGTATATTTATACAGTTTGGCATGTATAGCTATATGATTAAGTTGTGCGTCCAGGTAGGCATATGAGAGTATAGGAGAGCAAATGTGTGTGTACTGTGTATATATATAAGCATGACTATATATATACACACATATGATAAATATATAAAAGATGATGAATAAAGTAGGTATTGAAAATCTGGAAAAAGAGAAAAATAATTAATTAGAAGATCTCTAAGAAATAAACAAGAGAATAACTTCGACGGAAAGAAAATAAGTTGGATCATTTAATAAATTTGGTTTGTTTAAATAAAAAATAAGTGTAAAAAGGATTATTTAAGTAAAGAACTTAATTGTAGTAGGAAGAAAAATAAAAGAAATAAGAGTATGTGACACAAGAAAATTTGCACAGACATAAGGGAAAGAGTAATTAAGGAAGAGCTAGTTAAATAAAAAGGAATGAATTAATAACGTAGAAGCTCAAGACAAATATGGATAAGAAATTGGTTTTAGGAAATTTGGGAAATTATTTGATATAATAACAGTAATTGAGATTTTTTTTTTTTTTTGAAATAAAAAGAAATATCATTTCAAAGTTACCAAGGGGGTACCGCCCAATACACAACAATTACAGCTCAATAGTAGTTAGATAATAATAAGAAGCAAACCAAGATAACCAAAAGAAGAATTAAACTAAAATAAATAATGGCTTTGAAAGTATTTATGCGAGTTAATTAAGAAAGTTCAGTAAGATAGGGAAATGTAAGAAACTAATAGAGATGTAAAAACATTAGCCCCACCTAGATCATAATGACATCAACCTAAGTTAAGGAGAACGTTAGAGTCTAAAGTGAGTCCATAGAGATGTAAGGAATTAGGATAAAAGAATCAAGAATGTCTTAGTGTGCCAATAAATGGAAAATAAACAGAAAAGTGAGAAAACTTTAGAAAGAAGGAAAGAGAATTTGAGAAGGTAGACAAGCTTGTGTAATTTGTATAAAATGTGCTATAAGCAAAAATTTGTTGATTGTGTTGTGCTTGTGTGGAAAGATGACTAGGGGATTCAATGTGAATTTAATGTGTAAAGAATATATGTAAGGGAATCCAATCAGATATGCGTGAGTGAATCCGAATCAGATATGTACAAGTGAATCAGATCAGATATGCGTGAGTGAACCCAAATCAGATATGTGTAAGTGAATCTGATCAGTTATGTGTGAGTGAATCCAATCAGATATGTGTAAGTGAATCTGATCAGTTATGTGTGAGTGAATCCAATCAGATATGTGTAAGTGAAGACGTGTGATGTAGATCCAATTAGATAGGTGTAAATGAACTGTATAAGATATATCAGAGTGAATTCGGTAAGTTATGTATATGAACCCAAAAAGACAGGTGTATGAGTATTCAGTAAGTTATTATATTGGGATCAGATAAGAAACATAAAAAGTAAATTAGAAAAGAAAAGAGAAGTACGAAATATATATGTATGACAAGTTATATGAGATAAGTGAAGAGAACAGGAATAAGACTTAAGAATATGATCAAAATAGAAATTGTTGTTGTATTACCAAAAAGATAAGTTTAGAATAGATGAGAACAAAAACAGTGAAATTAAAGGCTGAAGATTTATTTAGGATTTTATTTAGGATAGGATCTTAAATTTTGATCTTAGTTCTGATCAAATAAGTTATTTTGACATTTGTGTTCGCGTGAATTTTTGTACTTAGTTCAATAGCTTACATAATTAAAAAGGTATACCTGTAGGTGTTTTCAAATTTTCTCTACAGATTCCAGCAGGTTGTGTCTATGATTGACCACATATACATACTTACGAAGCTAGTGTACCTTACCTAAATCCCTTATGTTTCTTTTCATATCAGAATAATCAGAATCAAGGTCCTGATCAGTGAAAGTGACCATCTGTGAGCGCCGATCATTTTGTAAAGAATTAGAGGTAATTATGATCTCTTGGTTTTTGTATTTTGTAGCTTATAATTGCCTCATGGTTAATGTTTTCATACATGTAAATACATGCAAGGATGTTTATGGAAACATTAATTTTAAATATTGCGCATAATTAATATCTTTGCAGGTTCCACTAGTTGGTAACTGTGTGCTTACGTTCAAAGACTCTGAAGATGGTCGAGAAGTTACAACATATCATGCCAATATTATAACCTAACCATGTCATACCTATATACAACTGGATGCAATTGACCTTCATTTTGTCACATATTAACCTTCTCAAAATGGCCCAAAGGTCAATATTTAACTGTTAACATTTTCTATAACAAAACCTTAACCTACACGATTATTCATACTTACATGATGGCAAGCTTATGCTCATCTTATCTAAATTACATCCTGCTTATGCTACAAAAATAAGCTCAACCTAATTAGAATATTTGAATGCAGGCAGCACCACGTCGTTGCCTTTGTAGAAGAGAACATACTTCTCTTCCGATTTGATTTTTTTAAGATAGCTAGTTAAAAATTCAACATCCTTCTCACAAGTTGTTTGAAGAAGTACTAACAGCTAAAAACAAAATCAAAAAGGAAACAGTGAAGATTGATCAAATAAGTTAGCAAGGAAAACATCCAATTGTGAATGAAACTAAATTATAAGATCACATATAAGTTATTTTTGTCCTCTTAGTTCTTTTTTATATTCATGCTTCACAAGGAGATAAAACTTTGCAGTCAGTCAAAAGAATAAAGTGTCAAGAATGCATCATATATAAGGAACAATGTACAGAAATTTTCACATTAAACAGAACAACTAATATCAAAAGAAACACATATTCATGTCCAAAGAAACACATTACATACATGTTTCGGAGCTTCCTCAGAACATGCTGAGGGAGGAAATGACTTTTTAATAAAGTCATCTTCTCTTATGTCATAATATCTTCTTCTGCGCTAGCAGGTATAAACTCTACTGAAACACCAAAATTCTACCAATGCCAGCTGAAAAATTCACACCCGACCTGAGAACCATGCAACTAAAACATCAGTTTTTGGGCTTTCAATAGTATGTGAAATAAATAGTCCAGAGGATAGAAAACAAACTTACACATCTGAACAAAATGTTCAACAACTGAAGGCGAAAATCACAATTGATGGCCAACTTCACACTTTGACATATTTATCAACATAGCCCTGCAGAGCATAATGTGAAGAAATAGCGTCTAAAGGGATATAAAAAGACACAGTAAAAGTGTTACGCAAAAAAAAACATAATCCAACTAAAACTAACAATGCAAATCCTTAATTTTCAGTCCAAGTCAAAGTACAAGCAAAATCCAATCAAAATCATAACTAAAATAACTAAAAACCATTTCCTCCAAAAGATTATTAAAAAATAAATGAAAAAAGAATCACAAAGCTTAGATCAAAACCAAGTCCATTTAAAAAATGCCGAGATGGATACTAGAGAGAAGGAGGGTCAGTTGGGGGAGGGGGATAGGGAGAGAATGGCTGTTTTGAAGAAAGAAATTGCTTCCAATATGAATCTGGAAGCTATCTCTTGGAGGCAAAAGGGTAGGGAAAAATGGTTAAATGAGGGTGGGTTGATTGAATACTAAGTATTTCCATAGTTTGGCTAATTTTCAAAGAAAAAATAATTATGTGGAGGAGATGGTAACTGAGGGGGAGGTGGTGAAAGGGAATGCTAATTTAAGGGACAAAGCACTCTTGTACTTCCAGCATCTTTATACAGAAGAGGAGGAGAGAAGACTGAAGTTGGGTGAGCTGCCTTTCAAACAGCTCTCTGCTAACAGTAGGGTGAATTTGGAAGCCCCTTTCACGGAGGAGGAGGTGTGGGGCTGTTTGGGTGAGTGCAATGGTGATAAGGCTCCAGGTCCCAATGTT